GGGATGCACTCTCTCTGATGGAAACCAAGACTGCCGGCAACCGATTTCAATCGTTGAGATTTGTTTTGCAAAATATATTTTATATGAGATATAAAAGTATATATTACAGTTTCTAAAATGTTTGCAAAATGTTTTAATTCCCAAGATCCATATAAGCAGAGAGTGCAACACTGTTCCTTGCAGTCGAGGGAGAGGTCATCTTTTGTTGGGCAGTGTTTGATCATTATGGGCTGAGAGGTTAAGTGTAAGGCCACTGAGGGTAATGCCTGATGGGCTAATCTTGCATCTGCCCGCAGTCCCTGGGTTTTTATAAGGTGGTTGAGCCCAATAGAAGCCCATGTGATGGGATTCAGGGGGTGCACTGTCCACAACAGTGTATTCGGCCGGGCCTTGTAACGAAGGCTGGGCCGAACCCATGTGGCTGATGTGTAGATCAATGCTTGGGTCCCACACCATACAAAGAAGCCCAACTGGGTAGCGGTTTGGAAGCAGTTTTGAGCACATAGACTTATTGGGCCTGAAGCCCATTTCGAACTGGCCTATTTTAATTAGTTAAATAGAAGGGGCGGATCTGGGATTAAATCAACTGATAGGATAGAGTCCCACTCTATCCACTCAGAGAGACCAGATCTGAATTCAAATCTGGAAACCTCCTGATAAGATCAGGAGAAGGCTGATCTAATCTGCAAATAAGATAAGGGTCTTATCCTTATCACTTAAGGATAGTCCAAATTTAGATAATGATCTGAATTAGGAAACTCCTGATAGGATCAGGAGCTTATCTCTTTAAGTTTGTAAAGCAGGAGGGGGCGAACAATCTAGATCATCCCAGAAGTTCCAGAGATACTAGATCTCGAATTACAGAGAGAAGAATACACAGTATGACTGCGCCTTCTCCCTGCGATCCCTTCCTGCTGCCGCCATACTGTCAGTTCGTTCTCCAACACTGTAGGAGTGGTCAAGATTGGATCTTGATATCAGTCTTTGCTGAAAGGCTGATAGGAAGTTGTGCTCACTGCCTCCATTGGATTCTTGCTGAAGAATTCGGTTCGTGGGACGGACCCTGCTGATTCTGCTCCTCCATTCACAGTGTCATCTTTAGTGGGAGCAGTTTTTGGTGATCTTCTTTAGGCGTGAACACCTTCATTGAGAGATATTATTTCTCTGTATCAAGTATATCCCTCTCTCACTATTTCGTTTAAAATCTGGTTCGGTTTATGGTTCAAGATTGATCATTGAAAATATGATTTTTCTAAAATAGGGAATACGATTCCCAGTTGAAGGGAGAGAAATTTTTTAAATTCGCCCACCCTATTCCGCAACTTTTGGGCGTCCATGTGATGGATCTCGCATCCCTTCAGTCAACAGTTTTGTGGACCGGTTCTTGGTTTTTCCAATCTGGTCTGGTTTTGAAAACCATGACCTTTGGTAGCTCGTTCAGTCGTATTAAACTGCAAGCAACTCCATTCTTTTTCAATCCAATTAGTGGCTTTTACATAATAGCCAAAAGCAAGTATCGTGGAGTGTCGAGCTGGGAAAGAGTGAATGCTCTACCATGGGCTTCATTAAAGTCAAGCTATGTTTTAGGCCAAGTTTGTGAGTATTTATTTGAAAAATAAGTGCTAATTCAATTAACACTTAAGAGCATTTGGTGAAAAAAATACACTTATTTTAAACAGAGATAGTATAGGTGTTTTTAAAATGATATGGCAGGCCAATATAGGTCAGAAAGGAAATAAACATTTAAAAATAATCCCAAAATTTGGAGCTTTCAAATAAGTGCTTATTCTCAAATACAAATAAGTGCTTATCAGTGTGGTCATGATCGAAATACGTGCTTATTTGAATAATCACTTATTTTTAAACACTCCCAAACTTAGCCTTAAAAGGTTAATAGCAGCGACGAGACATTTGGGTGCCAAAGAGAACTCTGGTGGCTCTCCTCAATTCGTGCACCACCTCGGATTGAGCAACATCAGATAGAAATAAAATCTTTAAACCTATTTTGAAAAGAATGGTCAACAAGCCCAACAACAGATCAAAAAGTTTAAAACATTTATTAAAAACAAAAGAAGGCATTACAGAGTAGACTGATCACCAATAACATAATAGAATGTAAACCACAAAAGAAACTCAAATATGAAAAAATGGTTAGAAAAAATAAGAAAAAGAAACCAAGAGTTGAGAAACGAAATGGTGTGTCAAGCAATGAAACTTTTCTAATGAAATTAATAAGTTGTTCATGAATCATTTTGAAAAATAATGGATGGGGATCCGTCCTCCCATATTCCGTTAGAATTAGAATAATTACAGCTAGCTTGGCTTACGCCCACGTGGCAGTTAGTTACAAACCACTTGTACCACTTGGGCCAATTTGTTGCAACTTGTAAGTTGGTTACCCATCGACCCAAATGTATTTATACCTCATTTCCCTATCAATTAATGCAAGAAAATACGTGTATTCAGCCTCCCTATCTTTGCAATGAACTTACGACATTTGCGATAAGGCTACAAACCCTGCCTCTGTTTTCTCTGCTTTTACATGGTATCAGAGCCTATAATCTCTTCCGCTGCTACTACCTTTTGCAGCTTAAACAACCTGTAATTCCCTCCTGGTTCATCCCTTTTGTTCTCATCATTATCAAAACCCGTTGTTGCTTCTAGTCGTGATGGCCATGGAATCTGATCCAAGCTCTCCTTGCTACTTTCATTGACTCGGCTTCTAAGATCTGGAAAGAGTTAAAGGAGAGATTTGCGTAGAGCAACATCCCACGGATCCATCAGTTGAAACGGGACTTGGCAATGCTACAGCAAGGAGACCTAACGGTAGCTGATTATTTCACCAGACTCAAAGGGTTATGGGATGAGCTCGGAAGCCTCACCGATCTGCCTCAGTGTACCTACGGAGCTTTGAAACAATTCATTGCAGACCGTGAGAAAGAAAAACTCCAATTCTTGATGGGTTTGAATGAATCTTTCAACATCATCCGATCGAACATTCTAGGATCGGATCCATTGTCGAGTTTGAACAAAGCATATTCTCTTGTGATCCAAGAAGAATAACACTAGATGTCTATCTCCCTTCGAGGACCACTCAACCCTGAAGCGGCTGCATTGAACAGTGTATCAAAATCCAACCCTCGAGAATTCGAGAATCGCAATCGTTCTAAGTACGTTTGCGATCATTGCAAGAAAGCTGGGCACACAAGGGAACGATGCTACAAGCTTGTGGGTTACCCTGTCGGATGGAAGAAAGGCAAATCAAATCGTTCTACAAAGTCTGGCAAGACCCCCCAACTGAGTTCATGTGCCAATGTAGACACCAATGATGACGAATCACCTATTACTGGGCTGAGCATTTGACAATATAACCAACTGATGGGCCTGTTGAGCAGAGAGAACCATGAATCAGCTACACATGTAAACCTTTCTAGTAAGCACTCCAATATTTCCATTGGATGGATCCTAGATAGTGGTGCTTCTGACCATATGGCTTCTACTGCATCATTATCTAATTGCACTCAGCCACAAATCTTCTAAACCAATCTTCCGAATGGGATTGTTACAACTACGTCTCATTACGAAACTATGAATCATGGACCGAAACTGGTCATCAATCATGTTTTACATGTCCCAAAATTTCACTGCAATTTACTCTCTATTAGAAAACTTACAAAGGAGCTGCAATGTATTGTTCTATTCTTTCCTTCATTCTATGTATTCTAGGGCCTTAGCCTCGAGGAGGTTTGAGGCACAGGCCTAAAAGTATAAATATATATTTTTTTATTTTTATGTATATAAATACAATGTTTGCACATATGTATGTATATGCCAATTTATTTCATTTTATAGCCTTTCATTTTTATTACATACATATTATTTTTAATATGAACCTTATGTTTTTATTTTATTTTATTTAACTATGTCTATCTAAATTAGGTAATATATACATACATACTAAAATTATTTCTAATACTTTATGCTTTAAGGGTACAATTTATTTTATTTTATAGCATTTTTTATATTTCTATTCATTTTTGTCTTAAAATTAATCATAATTTTATGGTAATAATTTACCTAAATAAAATTATCCATTTATTTAATTAATCATATATATATGATTAATTTCCTTATATATTTTTCTTTCATAGTTAATTTATATATTTATTTTTTATTAAATTATGTTCTTTTTAATAATTTTATTTATAGTTATAACCATTTTTACTAAAAAAAAATATCTTTACTTAATTTATATATGGACAAATTTCTTAAGCTACCCCTACTTTTTAACTAATTGACTAACTTTACCTTTACTGTTTAACTATTATCTTACACTACCCCTACTGTTTTTGACAATTTTCATTGCTATTAAATTTTAACTGAAATAGTAAAATGGCAATTTTACCCTTGGATGGCAAAGTAGGGTGAACGCAAGCTGAACTCAGGGTGGACTCCATATACCGCTGTGACGATGATAAAGATAACAACGATGAAGAATTTCTACGTCACCCATCAAAAACCACCTCACTCCAGAATTCCACCCATCTGGGTGTCCTCCCCCTGCTACCATCGGAATCTAAGCTTCTCCTTGAGAAATTAGAAGACGAACCATACCCTCTTTACTACTCACCAAGCATGGATTTTCGTATCACGGGAGCTCGCTGAAAAACCAACCCAATATGAAGCATAGTCACGGGTAGCGTTGAATTCTCCACCCCCTTCTCCTCTATGTGTTTTAGGAACAACCAAAATTGCCACTGCCACTGAAACTTCCAGCGGTGACAATGATCTTCTTCTTCCTTTACCCCTTTCTCCTCTGTTCATTTTTTGAATTGACCAAAATCGCACACCGTCGCCGCCGCTGCCTCCGCCCCTTCTCCTCTGTCTGCTTTGGATCAACCAAAATTGCTGTTGTCACTACAACTTCTAGCAACGGCGATGATCTTCTTCTTCCTCCAACCCCCTTCACCTCTATTTTTGGAACGACCAAAATCACTGCCACCACTATAACTTCCAACAACAGTGATGATCTCCTTCTTCCTCCACTTCCCTTCCCCTCTTCGTTCCCCCTCTCTGCCTCCCCTGCAAGTAGACCAATTGAAAGTGTTAGTGGTGGCACTAACAAATCAACTTCTCATTGCATCGGAATACTGACTCATGTTCAAAGAAATCAGAGAGATCCACTCCACAACAAAAGATGTGATTCTCGTCTTGGGTTTTTAGCCAAGCAAGTATTGCAGGGGATGTAGCAGTGGTTGAAGAGAGGGATCAAAAGGGGTGCCCTCTTTAGAGCATTTTGAGCAATACTTAGTGCCTTTTTCTGCCTCGTTGAAGCAAGTGGTGAAGCAAGACGACCTCGGCGGTTACGGCAGTTCCCCTGTGGCATTGGGGAAGAGGCAGAGTTCGATGAGGCGGAAGCCCATCTCATGCACCCAAACCCACAGGTTAGACGACTTCTCCTCTGCTCCCTTAGCGGTGGTGCCACCAACTCCCCCAAACCTATGCCACCAGCTTCGGCCTCAAGATCACTAGCTTCAAAGTTCAATAATGGTGTGACCAGCTTTGGGGTCCAAAGAGTGTGTCTTGACCTAAGCATATCCTTAGGCAAACCTAAAAGCCCCACTCCCTCTAATCACTGACATCACTCCGATACCAGACAAAATAGGAATTTGGATTTTACGGAGATCGAAATCTGAGTGCGTAAAGATCAGATTCTGTCAAATATGCAAATCTAATCTCTGTAAAAAAAAGAGAAAAAGAATTTGATCAGATTCAGATGACAAGGACCAACACCCCCTACGTTTCAAACGACCAGTACCGGCGTGGGGGGTGAAGAAAAGGGTATTACTATCATTTTTGAATGGTTTGGCATGTAAGGAGATTATGATGGATTGTGATGGAACCTTAACGGTAGGGGAATAATTAGTTAATTGTCAGAAACAATAGGAGTAGTGCAAGACAATAATTAAACAATAAGGGTAGAGTTAGTCAATTAACTAAATATCACGGATAGTTTAAGAAATTTGCCCTTTATATATTTGATTATAAATGATGAATCCCCCTTACACAAAGATGTTAGGGGAGTTGGGAGCCCAACCCAAAGCAAAAATTGTTTATATGAGGGTATTTTTGTTCATTGCAATGTTTTCGAACCGTCGTTGGCCCGGACGATCAGACCGTTTAGATCAGAAACCATCCAAGCAATCAATTTCGTTTTATCCCAAACTTGATCCCTGGTAAAAAACCATTGAATCAGTCAATGAACCATTGACCCAGATGGTTTGACCACAAAACTGTTCGACTCGAAGAGCGGTTCATGGTTTATTACTTCTGACGAGTTATAACTAGAGTGAAAAGGGAGAAGATCTCTCAAATTTGTGATCTACTAGAGAGTGAGAGAGAGAGAGAGAGAGAGAGAGAGAGAGAGAGAGATCAATTAAGAGATGTGTGAGACAGTGAGAGATTTGAGAGATCTCATGTTTAGAGATTTAGGAGAGCAATGTAGACAATAGATTTGCGAGAGAGAGTGAGATCTGGGACTGAGAGAAATCTCATATCTATTTTCATCACCAATTCGCCACCATCGCCGCCATTGTTGTTCGCTGTCGCTATCGTCGTCGCCGCTGCAGCTTGCAAGTGACCTCCTCCTCTTCCTTCCTTCCTTCTTCTTCTTCTTCTTCTTCTTCTTCTTCTTCTTCTTCTTCTTCTTTTATACTCTTTCAACCGCCGATAGCTTCTCAAATCTCTCTCATTCTCAAACAGTCAAACCTTATTTCTCTTATATTTATATGCATCTTACCCTAATATTTCAATCTAATAGGTACGATGACATATCACATGTTAAAATATTTAAAACCATTTGACCCAAACTATCGAACCGCTGACCCAAAAACCAATGGCCAAAACAGTTCTGTTTTTGAGTCGATTTTTAAAACCTTGGTTCATTGTAATTAGATTTGGTAAAAGGAAACCCTATTCTAACATGTACATTCAGGCCTCGTTTGTTTTCCGGTAAAGAAGGGTGTATAAGTTGGTTCCATGGAAAAAAAGGAAACCCACTTGCCACTATAATGAAACCCATGGAAAATAAATTTTTCAGAGATTATTGATTGCATGAGTAAGTGATACTTGTGTGGATAAGTTACCCACCTGCTGAAAAAAAATGCTCGGGCAACATTTCCCTTGGGAATCACTTACCCGGGGAAACACATTACCCATGTACTACAAAATGAACAAAACCATTAGTAAGAGAAAAACAAATGCATATTTTTTGTTTAAAAGAAGTATTATGAGAACTTTTTTAGTATAAATTGATTTATTTTATTTATAAACTAGTGAATGACCCCGAACCAAGTATAGGGAATTAGTAATGTTAAATTTATATTATGGAATCAATAATGTTAAATTTATATTTAATAATGTTTTAAATAATTATTAAAATTTCAAGAAATATTTATTTCAAATAATAGATTTTCAATAATTACTAGGATATGGATAATTTTCTTTTGGTATGATACGTAGAGGGCTAATGATTAACTGAGATTGATAGAATATAGGCAGAAGTAGTTGTGGATAACTACTTCGCATTTTCTGCATTTTTTAGGAATGGATTGAAAATGATAGTAGTGTTATGGGCTTTAACAGTAATTTCTAAGAAAATGCCACGTGTCTAACTTTCTAGAAAAACAAGAAAACCATGTGTCTGAATGGTGGAGGGTTATAGCCTGATAGTGCATTGTGGACTTAAATAAGAATTTCTCAAAAATTGTCACGTGTTTAGCTTTCTAAAAAATGAGAAGACCACTTGTTTGAATGGTGATAACGGGTTGTGGGCTTTAACAACTTTTCAAAAAATGACATGCATCTAAATTTGAAAAAGCCTGAAAGCCTTTAATATATATATATATATATACGAGGCTTAAATCTAAAAAATGTTAACTAATATTTTTTCTTTTTCTTTCAGATTTAATGCTTTTTATACGAGGCTTAAAATAGAGGCCGTAGTGTTTTCCTTTGGGTTCAAGGGGCCATCGGACTACACAACTGGGTAGCCCATCCCCAAACCCATAATGCCCCCAACCCAGGTACAGACCCTTACAATCAGCAAGAGACCCTACCAACCAACCGGTTGGCACTTTGCAGGCCGTAGCCTCTTAGTAGAGGGTTAAAGGTGCCTGAGACCGAGCGTTTTGAGGCGTGCATAAAATTAAGTGCTTCAGTTTTATCTGTACCCCATTAAAGGCGAAGGGGTATACCGTACGTAAACCATAATCCGCAAACAGAAGCTCCACAACCCACTGAAGTTGAGATCAACCCAAAACGTTTCAGGTAGAGACCTCAGCATGGCCATCAAACGAGAATAGAAAGTTTATAAAGGAATACAAAGTCCCTCATCAGCTTGCTTCCATTATATTAGTTGCTTATTATTCACCGTTTTATACATCAGCAATTCAGCAAAGTTGTAGCAGATAAATGGCAGCAGGAGACGAAGCAGCAGCAGCAGCAGCAGGCACACTATTTACAAGCATTCATTGACGGTCTACCAAATACCAGAAACTCTAAGAGAGCATAGTTTCATGATTCTATATCAACATCTTTCATCATCATCAGAAACGGCAGCAGCAGCCCAAGTAGTAATATGGTATCTTGTGTTTAATAACTCCCCTGTATGTATGCATTCAGGCGGTCCAACTCCTCCCGGTATTCATTCACCACTGCCCGAACAACATCTCCAATGGACACCATGCCTATCATCCCTGTATCATTGATCACAGGAATATGCCTGATGCGATTATCTGCCAATTACCATGGAACCAAAGCCTACATTGTCATTCTCGATTCATTTAATCACCAGTGGATGGTGGACTGCAGCGTCACACCATCAATTACTATTACTAAATGACTTGATAAAGAAAAGCAGAAGATATACCTGACATCAGTTGCATTGCCTGCAGAACTTTGGTTTCAGGTCTAACTGTGATAAGCTTGTTCTGAAATCAGCAGCCAAGACGGCAGTAGATTTGTTATCACAGAATGACAGCCATAAAATATAAATGCCAATATGGCATTGTGAATGAGGAAACTCCAATCAAGTTTAGGGGATGCTCAATGCATACCTCCTCAGTCATTATATCTCCAACCTTAGTTGACTTGGATGACCTTCCTTGAACAATGATCTTCCTGAGGTAGTCTGGAAACAAATCACAAAATTAATAGAAGTGATATCTACCTGGCAGCTATACCATTAAAGATTCGGAGCATCAAAATTATGTGCCCTTATGTGATCATAGAGGACCACATCAATTACTTCTCAATCAACCTGACACAACAATCGTTGACCAAGATGACTTTGCCACCAACAAAAATAGTGTTGACATGAACTCTGTGCGCGCACGTTTGGAGAGAGAGAGAGAGAGAGAGAAATTGCTAGCCATGTTGTCTAGCAAAGAAGTCTAATCATCCAAGGAAATTTACATGTGAAAAGTTAGTTTGGGGATTCAAAAGGAGTCCCCATATTCATCTCTCCATATTTGTGGAATAAATACATTTCAATAATTCCTGTTCCAAGAAAGACATTTCTTTCAACAGATTGTAGTGATATTGATAAAATCCTAAAGGTGTATAACCTCAGTTATAGGTACCTCATCCATAGAGACGAGGGAATGTTTATAAACAAAATATGCTTCCTTGTAAGAAGAAAGGAAATGTTGGTAGTTGTTTTAATGTGTCCTCTAAAGCATATCAAGTTGGGAAATCATTTACATGCACCAGAAACACAAAACAATTAAGTAAACATAAGTTGCATGGGTTCAGATGCATATTTCAGGTTATGCATCCAAGAGTCAACTCTGTTGAACCCCAAAATCTTAAGATACAGTTACTCAGTGAAGATGGTTCTGTTAACTGGGTAGTGCGCACAAACACATTTTCTATCAAACAAAAGACCAAAATTCGTCTAGTAATTTTACACATTATGTGATGAAATCCAATAAACAGAATACTAGCAACAAAAGGATGCAATAATATCTACAGGTTGCAACATCACAATAACTCAACAGTCTACCAAAAACTACACTGTACAAGGCTAAATGGACATTGTATCACTGCATGCATTCAATTTAGGGGGGTGTAGAGAGAGAGAGAGAGAGAGAGAGAACTTTAAATGTTAATTATATCATTTCTTCTTTCAATGAAAGAAAGCATGCTTCAATTTTGATTAAAGTTAAATTCCTTGCAGAAAGTAAATACCAAGCTTTCCAAATACCTGGAGGCCCCCATAGTCCAAAGATTAACATGAATAGATGGTTAAGATCATCATATCAGGTCAAATTAGGCTGATTAAGTGGGCCTATAAAGTGCTGGTGTGAAACCCTAGATCTATCCATATTTATGGCAAAGACAGGATACACAGACCATCTTTAAGTTCTTGATGCTGACCTTCCTCTGGTACACAATATTAAACTTTAGAAATTAATTAAGTATGGTGTCACAAATCACAAGGGCTTGTCTATTGATGTTGCCTCAAATTACCTCCAAATGTAGTTTCGTTCAAGTAGATATTTTACTAAAAATCAACAACATATCACTGGGATTGTTACTCCAATGCATGACAATGTGCACCATAGCCTCACAAGTATTTAACAGCACATAGGGAAAATTATTAGTAAAATAACCACAATTACACTTCAAAGATTGATATCATATCCCAACTGTCTAGTCTTGAATGAATAAAATGTTACACATATTTAATGTGCATTATGCTAGCATTCCTCTGAGGTTTATAATGAAGAAGAGAAGCAATAGCTCAAACTGAATGATGAAAGCATTTTAAATCTCTGCAACTGAAGCATGCTTCATCTTACAAGAAGAATAATCAAACTCACAAGGTATATAAAACATGTTCAATAGACCACTGTCACCACTCACAGAGCATCTTAAGTCAACATTTCATTACCTCTTTCAGTAATAATTCCAGCAATTGACTTCTGCTCCCCTGGTTTCACCACCACCAAAGCTCCAACATTGTTCTGTGTCATCTGGAATAAATAAAGTACACTAAGTGTGCTATACCAATATAACCAATAAAGTGCATCTGCCCTATAGCTAGCAAAATTATGTCAGAACAGTCTGACATGGTTGATAGACCAATGGGTACTTTATCATCATAACAGAAAAACATTGGCCTCGAAATTAAGATCTCATCAGCTGGATCCCAAGATTAGCAACTCCTTAGTCGATGCTCTTACTAGAGGTGGATCAGGAGGAGTTCCTTTTAATTGGGGTATGCTCCTAAAAAGTGATTACCACATATTGTGGGCAGAAGATTGTTTCACCATTTTGTTTCACTTATGTGGTTGGTAAACCCTTCACCTTTCTAGGTTTTTTTTTTTGATAAATCTTCACCTTTCTAGGTTTTGGACAATTGCATGCTCTATTTTAACTTTTTCTTCCTTCTCCTTTAATCAAATCATATCAGTTAAAAAGAAGAAGAAAAAAAAAATTAACCTGATAAAAGAGAAAGTGAAATCCCTTATTTAAATCTTTGAAAATAAAATACACTAGGAAAAGGTTTCCCAATATGTTCACTTAGCAAATGTATGCAAATGGACATATGTAACCTAGGAACCTTCCAGATGGAAGCTCTGATAGTGTTTGGCCTGCTTGCAGAGAATCAATTCTAATGATTAAAAAAGATATTTAAGTTGGGAATGTAAGAATCACTAAATTTGGGAATTAATCATCAGAAGTGATTGTGCACAGCTAGGAAAGGACAGCTTGGAGAAAGAATAGCTTGCAGATCAAAATTCATGCTTGAAGCACACAATTTTGTAGAACAAAATTATACCAAAGACCACCATATTTGGGGTTTCAACAACAAAATAAATAAGTGATTTTTTGGGAAATTTTCTAACAGAAATTTCTAAACATCATTTGGCGATTGAATGTATAATGGGAATATGGGATATACTGCTGGTATATCAGCAATAAAATAAATAAATGTGCAAAATAGTGCACCCACTATGCAATGAATGATCTAAGTCAGACGTATCTTCCAACAACAAAGCTGGTAATAGGAGGCTTGACTGGAAAAGATATCTCATTTACCACCTATAAACCTTTTTCCTAATGCAATGTCAAAAAAATATTACTAAGAACTCCAGAACAGAAATATATAGTGTAGAACATACATACCGATTTTACAGCATCATAAACCATGTCATCAGTTGTGCACCAAAGCCAAGAACCATCAGCACCCTTACCCTTGGTTTTTAGAACATCTGAAATTGTTGTGGTTTCAAAACCATTCTCTTCCAATCGAGCAGAGGACACTGACTCAAAGCGTGAACATATAGCAGGCCGCATGACTGGATCCACTACACGGATGTGTTGCAGAACTGCATTTCTGAGAAAGTTTCCATGTGATCGGATTGCTTGAATTGCACCTTGCATCCTACCAGCAAACAAAATGGAGGCTTTATAAGAAGAAAGCCTTGATAACTCTTTTAGTTCATGTACACCCACAGCTACTAAATATGTGTATGGCATAAATATGATAATAGGAAACATATGTGCATAATTTGGAACTAAGAACAAAGAATAAAACAAATAATTCAGTCAAATAAGCATAATAAGGTAGAAGACTGGCACAATATGCGTTTTTGTTTAATATGTTCTCATTTAAAAGGTTTGAAGTAAAAATTCGGTATATTTTATTTGTGAATACGTATATAATATACTGAACATGCATATGTAAATATTAATATATTTTAAAATTATAAAAATTTATATAAAATTAAAAAACCCAAATCATCATCCCATAGTTTTCGAAATCAGAATTATTCATTTATTATATGTTTTTCCTAATTATTCATGTATTTTTGTATTTTAAAAAAAAATATATGCAATTCTGAACATTTTCTTCCAAAAAATGTCATTAGCATATAACACACATATCATATGCAAATTTGCTAACTATGGATACACCACGGCATGTAAGCAATCTCATACAGAAACCACCAATTCTGAGGTGTGTCTTGGAAAATCTTAAAATGGCTGCATACACCTAATGGAAAAGGTAATTGGTTATAACATTTTCAAGTAGTACAGTAATAAAATCATCATTTCACCTTTATAATTAGATTGAAATAGTACATTAGAATGCAGGCACATCATGTCTCAACAGAACTTCAAGGACAAACTATAATAAGTATATAAAAGAATTCTGGGAATCTGTATAGGTTGACAGTGTGTTGATTCTGGCAACCGTGTAATATTAACAAGAAAAAGGGCATATACATCAGTTGAGATACATAATACCTTTTTCATTAGGAAAAAGATACATAATACTTTCTCAGATGCATAAGATGCATTTTGCTTGTAAAGTGCCGGTGGGCTACTTGATCATGAGCTTGATAAATGATAACTTAAAAAAAGTTGATCATTCAGTAGCTCATAATATTTCATCAAACAAACAAGAATTGCAATGTCTCGCAAGTCAAATTATGGGAAACATGCAGAACTGAACCCCCACAATAAAATACAACAAGATCAAGTTATGAAACCACTATTTGAAGAAGTCGACAAACTGCACAGGAGTGTTAGATATTTCAACTGTGAAGCATCCATCAAAGCACAACTCTACTCCAACCCATTGTTGATTCTAAAAACAGAGAAACAGAAACCAAACACAAAAAACAAATCCTCCAGCAATTTTGATCATCTACAACCTTCTAGTAAAAAAACAAAACATACACACACATACTGTAGCACCCCTGCAAGGCTGCAACAGAAAGAGATATACCTGGTAGTGACAAGTACAATCAAACTTCTGCAATGGGAAGAACAACGGAGACAAGGGAAAACGATGTGAAAGGTATTAGATGAAAGACAGAAAACAAAAGCACACAAGGGAGAGCTAAAAGGAGATTGGGGTTAACAGTAATGGAGTGGCGATGGCAGATAATTCCTGTGGGCGCACCTTAACAAACCCTAGAGCGATGCTCCTGCAATGGAGAGAGGATACAGTCCACTTGGCGAGCAAAAGTATGCCCTTACAAATAAAGAAAAGAAGACAAAGCGGAAATGATGTAGACACCCTTATCCGCAACGCACAAAACGCCAACATCACTCTCCAGTCTGTTCTAAAGAAAATAATATTTTCTTGTCCCCTCCGTGCTCACCGTCCACCGAAGTCATTAGATGAAGACATGAAGTAGAAATTGTATAAACAAAGTGACATTGGTGATTGGACTCATAACATCATGTGGGTCCAACTTGCCACGTCTACCTTGATTATACATTTATATTATCTGAAGTTAGGAACCTGCCACTCAATCCAATGGGTCCCTCTCATGGAGATTCATCGTACCAGAAAATCAACTCAAAATATTAAGGCTCCGTTTGGCTTCATATATTTGCGGGATCCATTTTATTATGGGAAAATTTCCTACCTGTAATTTTGGTCCTACGGCCACTTTAGTCCACGAACTTTAAAATGGATCAATTTAGTACTCAAACTTTTAAAATGTGGCAATTTAATATCCGAATTTTAAAATGAATCAATTTAGTACTTAAGCTTTTAAAATGTGGCAATTCAATACCTGCCGTTAACTAGTTGTGAATAGAGTTGTCAATTGGACTGGATTTGGTCCAATCCGGTCCAATCCAATATTGGTCCATTTATAAATGGATTGGACTAAATCCAACCCAAACCTCATACAAATCGGATACAGTCCAGTCCAATTGAAATGTAAATGGACCGGATTGGACCCAATCTGGTCCAAATTAAATGTTTTCCTCAGAATTTTTCCTATTCACAGTCCGTAAGAGTCCACAACAGTGAAATAATAACAACAATCAACATACAACAGCCTCTCAACACGTACGTGTCATTTTTTCATTGGTCGAGAATTTTGGTAAAGCAACATTCCTTCCAAGCCGCATACTAGAGGTGTAAAGTGGGTTGTGTAGGGCCGGCACGGCACGACCTGTGGGCAGCCTGCGCAAAGTGCAGACTGTGATGTGTTGGCTCGCAGGCTATCACGGGCCATGCCGCCTTCCCCGATGAAAAATTTGGGAGTTGTCCTAGAACATCATGTGGACTTCGAACCCCAGGCCCAGCACAACACGGACCATAGTGCTGGGCCTAGCATGGCTCGTGGGCTGTCGTGCCGTGCCATATCGTGTCGAGCCGCAGGCGGCACGGCCTGATTTACACCTCTACCGCGTACAAACCCTAAAAGGCTAGAAACTTCACCCCCTTCCCCGATAATATGCTATCGTCCGTCCCTACAAATTTGGAGAAATCTTAGTCGTAGACGGTGGCATCACTTGTCACTCGCCAGTAGACCTGTTCATGGGCCGGGTGGCCCGGCCCGCATAAATTTCAAGTCGGGCTCGAGCTTTGCCAAAATAGCCCGACCCGGCCCGACCTATAGTTAAACCTAAGTAAAAGCCCTATGTGATGTCCATTTGAATAAATTTTTTGATTTAAGAAGGTTGTTGATTCACTTATAGGCCCATTGTTCATTTAAATAGGGAAAAAAACATCTGAATTAAAATAGATAATGTCCATTTGAATAGGGAAAAATTCAAATTTCTTTTATTAGGTCGGGTTCGGGCTCGGGCTTCGGGCTTTTTATCAGGGTCGGGCTCGGGCCCAAGTTGTAGGCCCGTTGGTCGGGCCGGGCTCGAGCTCGGGCCTAACATTTTTCTGTTAATAAAGAGTAAAAGCCCGGCCCGAGCCCGGCCCGGCCCGGCCCATGAACAGGTCTACTCGTCAGTTACCACTTTCTCTTTTCTCTCTCTTTGGTTTCTCGACATCAAGTCGGTGCCCTGTATGTGATGCCCGTAGCTTTCATAAGAAACCAAGAAAGAGTGAAAGAGTCAGGTTAGTGAGCACTTTCTCTTCTCTTCTCTCTCTCTCCTCTCTCTGGTTTCTCGACATCAAATCGGTGCCCTATTTGTGACGCTCGTAGCTTCATCAGAAACTAGGAAAGAGTGAAAGAGTCAGGTGATCAGCCTGCTGCGGTAATGAGTTTATCGACGCTTGTGGTCAGAAGAGAGATGGAGGCCAGCCTGTCGGTGGCGTGCCAGGCACTTGTGGTGGAGACGGCGATGGTGGAGTGCAGAGATGGAGAGGTGGGAAGTGCACAGGTTAAGGGCGAGAGGAAGATAGCCGGAGAGGGGCAAATACCGCCGAAGTTCGTTCGAGGCTTCCAACGAAATACTGCCGACGAGACATTGAGATGGAACGACAGAGGTGCCGAACTAGCCTTCAAAAGTTTCCACGCTTCAAACCTTCAACGTTCAAACTTCAAATGAAAATAAACAGACCACCGGGCTCATCTGAAACTTTTGGCCTTGTCCACTTTCGGTCCATTCTATGAATGGACGAGCCATGTTTGGACCGGTTCGAGTCCATATCAATTTTAGGACCGTCCAAATCCATCCATAACACTTTCGATCGGACGGAATCCACCCTGAAACCGGTCCATTGACACCCCTGGCTGTGAACTAACTTTTAAGTGACATTTCAAAAAGATATAAATGCCCTTCAAGTGTTATTTAATTTTCTTTATCAACCATCTAAACGTTAACAAAAAATTAACAGTCTCAAATCCTTGTCTTTTTCCATTCAAGAAAGTTGAGGTCATGTTTGAGTAGGCATTCTAGTGATACCAACTTTCTTGAATAGAAGAGGCAAGGATTTGAGATTGTTAAATTTTTGTCAATGTTTGGATGGTTAATAAAGAAAATTAGATGACACTCGAAGGGCATTTGTGTGTTTTTCAAATGCTACTTAACGGCTGGTTAACAGTTAGTTAACAGCAACTACCGGATTGTCATGTTTCGAAGTTCGAGTACTGAATTGTCGCATTTTAAGGTTTGGGGACCAAAGTGGCACTAGGCCAAAAGTATCAGAAATTTTCCCTTTTATTATTTGAGCAAATTTCTTAAAAATACCTCTATGGTTTAAAAAAACTTACTAACTCTATCCTTACTGTTTACATATTGTTTTAAAGTATCCTTAAATTTTCTAACAATTATCTAAAACCTCCCTTTTCGTTAATTTTCTATCACACTCCATTAACATGATTGATATTTTTTTAAAATACTTAAAATACCCTTCCAAGAAAACTCTAGAAAAACTCTATCTTCATTTTTCGGCCAAACCTCGAGAGGGAAACTAAGTACACTTTAGAAATAACCCAACCATGATTCACAAACTCTTTGCCAATGGCTTTACAATCTATTTTGGTAAATGTTTCATTCTCCTGCGATGTGTTGTCAATTCAGACACCAATTGGAGCATTGAAATCCTGTTATGCAGCCCTAAAAAAATCTGATAAAGTGGATCCAAACCCTAAAAAATTCCCAATTCTCTCATATATGTCATGTCTTGAAGCTTCTATAGTGGCTTGTTCTTAATACTTGCAGAGAACGTGAGAGAGAGAGGGCTAAGGAATTGGTGCTTGTGAGATTTTTCTTTTGCTTATACATTTGTAATTTGTAATTTTGTAATTCTATTTTTCTTTCTTGGCTCGTGAAGACTGAAGAGGCATGATACAAACCACTGCTGCTGCATGATATCATAGGACTCTCTCTTCTTTATGTTTCATTGTGTCCTTTTTTAAGGTTTTATTTGGGTTTGGTTGATTTGTCTATACGAATAGTTGATGGATTCATTCAACGTTATGCTAAGTGGTAGACTTGCTCATGGGCCGGTTCAGATCGGGCTTTGCCTTTATCTTAACAGAATATGCTTAGGCCCGAGCTCGAGCCCGACCCTCATATAAAGTCTAAAACCCGGGCCCGAGCCCAGCTAGAAATTTGGAAAAAAAAATTCTTTTTTATTCATTTAAAAAACTATTTTATTTATATTAAAGGACCTCAAAACCTAAAAAAATAATGAAAGATCTCAATTACTTGAAAAAAAGAACAAATATTGTATTTTATATATATATATATATATATATATTTTTTTTTTATTATATAATACATTATCAAGTCGGGCATGGGCTCGGGCCCGATGTTTTAGGCCCGACCTGAAAAAAAAGGTCGGGCCCAATGTTTTAGGCCCGAGCCTGAGCCTGAGCCCATGGGCTTAAAATCCTATTCAAGTCCGACTTAGATCGGAGATCGGGTCGGGCCGACCCGTCGGGCTTCCCAGCCCATGAACATGTCTACTTAGTGGAGCTATTGGAGTTCAATTTCTCCTCCTTCTACTTTGATTTCTTGGGTTTCTTCTTTGATCTTAACGGAGTCGGATTTTTTGAGTTACAAGTGTCATTTGGGATAGGGATTCGAATGGGCCAGGGTCTTCTTCTTTGATTTTTTTTCTTCTCTGAATTTTTCCAAATGCCATTTTGTTACTTTGACTAAGATGGTTAGATTTTGTAGGTGTTTGGTTTCGTGGGCGCTTTTGAGTTACATACTAATATTTGTTTCTTTGTTTTATAATTCTCAGGAACAATGGAACAAGTATAATTAAGTGATGATGAATGATGTTTTGGTAAGACTTAATCATCTTTACAAGTGTAATTATTTTTCTACAATTTAAAATTTCATTTTCCAAGTAATTTGACAATCTAAAACAAACTTTTCTTGTTTGTTTCTTGACAGTTGAGTCATTTGCAGGGCAGCATTTCTTCTTCAAACATGAAGATCCAAAGTCCATTAGGCCACCTAATTTTTTGAATGGCTGCAAGAATTTTTGGATTAGTGATTAATGAACAACTTTTGTCATTGATTTTTCATTTAAATTTTATCATTGGATGGGTGAAATGATGTTCAATTTATGACTGTTTTTTTTTACACCTTACTTGTTTTTAAGTCCAAAAGTTTGTGATGTTCAGTTGCAAGTTTAAGCTTTATTGGAACTAGAAGTTTTATTAGAAGCCAAGATGGCTTTATTAGTGATGTTCAATTCAGTTTATGGCTGAAACGATGTTCAATTTATGAATATTTTTTTTTACACCTTACTTGTTTTTGGGTCCAAAAGTTAGTGATGCTCGATTATAAGTTTAAGCTTTATTGGAACTAGAAG